GGAGCGAATAAACAGGACGTTACAAGAAAAAATGCGAGTCTTGCTGACTCAGGCAGCATTACCACCGCATTTTTGGACTTACGCTTTGGACCATGCAGTTCTTCTACACAACTTGTTGTCGACAACTTCTCTTCCACAATTTTCTTCGCCACACCTGCAGTGGACAAAAACTTTTAAGAGTTTTTGGGTGTATCGTCCAATACCGACCTCTGACTGCACCACTCGGGATATTTCCGGAATGGGCTAAGTGGGGAATTCATCTTGGCATCGAGAAGCAGTTTTACGCGTGGAAAATTATGGATCTTTGCACGAGTCAAATTGTACCGGCACGTGATTGTCTTTTCTACGAACGACTCACCTTACCTGGATTTTGTGCTCACCAGGCACCAACTGCCAATCCTGCCAGGTTGTTCGAAGGCTCGTGTGCTTTCGCTACCGACTAGGCCGAAGCAGATGTACAGGATGAATCCGTCGCTGAGTCTTCCGAAGCTGCCACAGACATCCCCGTGCCAACCACGTCACCTGGAACTGCCAAGTTTATTCCACTCTCCAAAGCAGACTCTGAAGATGTCCGCGATGTTGTTCTTGATTACGAACGTGATCGTCAGCAGCAGCCAATGCCTGTTGTCTCCGAAGCAGCTATCCGTGTAGCACCTAAAGAAGTTGGGGGGAACATGGGTTAAAACACAACTTCTCTAGTGTCAACTCAAATCGTCCTCATTTTACAGAAACTGGATTACAGGTATTGGGACTCAGTTAAACAGTAAAATTCTGGATCCGAAAACAGTTCGTCAAGCTTTGACAAGTCAACACAGGGAAAAATGGCGAGAAGTCATGGACCGGGAGTTAGCAGCTCTGGAAAAGAGAGGTACCTTGGATTAAATCCCGCTGAAGGAAACGAAGGGGAGTAAGGTTCTGACCGGAAAATGGGTTTTTTTCGCGTGAAGATAAACGCCGGTGGTTCCTTTGAAAAATTCAAGGCGCGATGGTTCAAGACTTGAACAAGGATCTTTGCTGGGATTGTAGACTAGTAAGATACGGTAGCGGAAGTCTTAGAACTTGTAAGTGTTGACCAAATTTACTGTCGAGTTTTGTATGACTTCAATTATCAAAGTTACTCTTACATCTCTTAAAGGTACCTGTTCGGTAATATACCTGTTCAAAACTACTTGCGCTATGCGCTCTAATCGCTACTGAAAGGGGCGCAGCTGTTCGCGTGACTGAAACGACCTGCTGGCATAATCATCCAGACGAGCGCTACGGTATTTGCTGTCGTCATTCTACGGATGCTAGGTACAGTATAACTCGACAATATCTATCGGAACTACTTACAGAAATGCTTAATTACGATTTTATCACAACACACATGAGACCGGTACACACAAGAGGTGACTAGTAGTCACCCCAATGCTGATGTTGCCCCAAATGTTATGCTGGCCCTTGTACTCAACATCACATGGGACAGGAACACACATGAGGTGACTATTGGTTCAACTCAGAAATCACCCCAATGCTGATGCTGCCCAAAGTGTTATGCTAGCCTTTGTACTCAACATCACATGAGTCAGGAACACACATGAGGTGACTAGTAGTCGCCCCATTGCTGATGTTGCCCCGAATGGTATGTTGGCACTTGTACTCAATATCACATGGGACAGGAACTCACATGAGGTGTCTATTGGTTCAACTTAAAAGTCACCCCAATGCTGATGCTGCCCCAAGTGGTATGCTGGCCTTTGTACTCAACATCACATGGGACAGGAACACACATGAGGTGTCTATTGGTTCAACTTAGAAGTCACCCCAATGCTGATGCTGCCCCAAGTGGTATGCTAGCCTTTGTACTTAGCATCACATGAGACAGGAATACACATGAGGTGATTATTGGTTCAACTCAGAAGTCACCCCAATGCTGATGTTGCCCTGAGTGGTATGCTGGCCCTTGTACTCAACATCACGTGAGTCAGGAACACACATGAGGTGATTATTGGTTCAACTCAAAAGTCACCGCAAAGTTGATGTTGCCCCAAATGGTATGCTGGCTCTTGTACTCACCATCATACTGTATGAGGCAATGCAGATCCCATTCATGGAGCGCTGCCACAAGCATGTGCGCGTCCTTGAGCACCAGCGACCCTGCAGTGATCATGGAGTCTCATCTATTTAAACGTCTCTTTCCTCATGCAAATTATCAATTCTGTTTCTGACATGGTTTCACAGCTTATGGCTCACGACTCTCCCTCGTTCGATTCCTAGCCACCTTGCGCCCACCATGCCCTTCCTCACGCCCTTAGGCGCCGCTCCCCACGCCCTTGGGCATCGCTCCCGGTGCCCTTAGGCGCCATTCCCTGCGCCCTTAGGCGCCCCTCCCCGTGCCCTTAGGCACCCCCCGTGCCCTTAATCGCTCCTTCCTGCGCCCTTAAGCGCTTCCCGCCGCATTTCGTCGCGGCGCTCCTGCCGTATTTTGACGCGGCTCTCCCGCCGCATTTTATCGCGGCTCTCTCGCCGCTTGCGTCGGCGGCTTCCCGCTTCTTCGTGGTGCCCCCGCCTCTTTCCGTCACTTCCTCCCTCTCTGTGCAGTCCCGCCGCCCTTGCCTAATAAGCGGGATTCGGCAGGGCTGACCACTGTGCCGGCGCGCACGACACGCAAGTGTCCGCGATTGCCCCCATCCGTGTCGGCCATCGTCTTTCGCGGTGACGCCCGTCGAACGCTTCGTGTCGGCCTATGGTGACTTAAGAGCTGCGCTCCGCGCACCCGAATTTTTTTCCTCCTACCCCCTCTCCCCCCCCCGCCCCCCCCACTTCCCTCCCTCACAAGAGTCACCCCTCATGCGCCTGATACCTCATGGACCTTGTCCACATGGATCTCTGGGACACCAACCCTTCCCCCACCCATTAAGGGCACCTCTACCTCCTCATCCTGGTCGATGATCGCTCCCGGTACACCTTGGTCTCCCTCCTTCGCACGAAGGCCAAGGCACCAGTCTTTATCATCTCTTGGGCCGAACAGGCGCACACCCACTTCGGTCGCCCTGTTCGCCGCTTCCATTTCGATGACGGTGATGAATTCCTCAATCACCACCTCTCTTCTTATTTCTCCACCCATGGTATTCACCATTGTACCTACATCCTCCCTCACTCCCCTCAGAAGAATGGCATGGCAGAGGCTCGTGTTCTAGAAGTGACAAAGTCTGCCAGGTGTCTCCTTGTTCACGCCTTCTGCCTGCCATCTCTTTTGGGTTATGCCCTTCTCCTCCCACCCTCTCCTCCCCTCCACCACCCCCACCGAGATTTGGATGTCAACTAAATCCGATGTCTCCTCCCTGCGCGTCTGGGGTTCCCGGGCATATGTGCTCATACTCCCGGCCGATCGCTCATGCTCAGCAGGAAATCTCACCTCCAAGAGTCTACCATGTATCTTCCTTGGTCACAACACCTCCTCCCCTGACTACTTGTTCCTTCACCCCCCCTCAGATCCCCTCATCTGTAGTTAGGACGTCGTCTTTGACGAATCCTCCCCCTACTACACCTCTCCGGCTTCACCCGACCCACTCACCACTCCTCCTCGCCCCCTCATCACCTCTGACACCGTCACCCACCCCCTCCTCCCCCCTCTCCCTCTTATTCCCCCAACCCCAGCACCTCCTCCCCCCGAATCCGTTCCCTTCTCGTCCTTCTCAGGTGCCATCCTTGACCCCATACTCCCCCCTTCTCCCTCTCACTCCGCTTTCGCTCCTTCCTCCCCCTTCTCCCCACCTCCCTCCCCACCCCCTCCCACCCCCCCCCCCCCCAACACACCTCCCCTTCCCCCACCTCCTCCTCTAACCCCTAAGCGTCTCCTCCCCTAGTCCTTTGCCACCGTCCTCATACTCAGTCCATGGATCCCCTCTTTGGTCGGCCCTTAGCCCATCCCTCCCCTCATTTACCGTCACCCGCTCCAGGATGGCCAACTTGGTTGGGAAGGGCTAAGCTCATGAACTTTGAATCTTCATAGCTTTAGCGTCCTTGCTCCGATTGAAACGATTCTTGTTGCGTCGGAAAGATCTTCTCAATATCTATCATCACAAATACTGCTCAAACAAAATAACACAAAACACATTCCCAAACTCCAGAACACACCACGCATAAATGCTTGCACACATTCAAACCACACATGCCAGTTGAAAACATGGGATGGGAGGCAGACAGAATGTGAAAGCATATAATGACATCACACAACAAGATCCAGCTATCCTCAGAAAGATCATAACCCTTCCAATGGATAACAAGTTCCCAGGTTCCATTCCGACGACGGCGATGTGCAAGCATGGACTCGACCTCGTACTCGGATTCATCATGGACGAGGACGTGCGGCACCGGCGGTTGGCGGCCAGTGAAGATCGTTTTGGGATCTCTGTAGGGCTTCAGAAGCTAGACAGGGAAGGCATTGTGAATCTTCCAGGTAGCTGACAATGAGCAAGGGCCCATAGAAGCGAGGTCCTTGTTTGGATGGGAGATGGCTGATGTCAAGATTGCGGGTGTCGAGTAGAACACGGTCTCCCACGGTGATGGAGTGGTCATTGCGGTGGCGATCGGCCTAACGCTTCTAATGCTGCTGAATGTTGAGGAGGCGCTTGTGGGTCCGATCCCAAAGCTGACGCATGGTGGTGATGAAGTCGTGTGCAGGTTGGACTATGGCTGGTGCTGCCAGTTTCTGTGGGGTGAGCGGATTGCGTCCGTAACAGAGGAAGAACGGTGTCTGTCCAGTAGCAGCATGAGTGGCGTTGTTCTAGGCAAACTCTAGGACGGGCAGATGCAAGTCCCATTTAGAGATTTCGTCCTTTGGTTGGAGGAGTTGCTCCACACTTTGGTTGAGATGTTTGGGCTGTCCATCTGTCTGGGGATGGTAGGCAGTTGACATGGCGAGTTTGGTCCCAAGCAGAGACATCAGATCCCGAGCTGGTGAACTTAGGGTCTCGACTGGAGATGGGTGTGGTTAGAATGTCGTGCAGTGAGATGACGTAGCAAACGAACAGATGTGCTATCTCCTCAGTGCGTGCTGTCGTGTGTGTCGAGTTGAACTGTCCCATTTTGGAGATTTTTCAATGACGACAAGGATTGCACCATGACCGCTTGTGGTAGTTGGTAACCCGGTGATGAATTCTAGGCTAACCTCTTGCCATGGCTGATCTGGGAGAGGAAGAGGCTGTAGCAGTCCTGCTTTTTTCTGCTTGCTGCTCTTCATCCGCTGACATGTGTCGTACAGGGTGACGAATTTCTGTACGTTGTTTGCCATCTGGGGCCAATAGTAGTGCTTTGCAATACCGGAGAGAGTCTTGTTGCTACCAAAGGGTCCGGCGTACAGGACATTGTGGTATTCTTTGAGGATTAACTGGCGCAAAGGCGGTTAATTGGGTACCGAGATTTTTGTTGAGCCTTTCTGGTACGCGATGTTACTGTCCCACTGTAGCAGGTGTCGCTTCTGTGCCAACGGAATTTCGGGATCGATCATGTACCCGTGTGTGAAGAGTCTCTTGAGTAGCAGGTTCTTCCATTAGACCTGGATAGCGGCAACGTGTGCAAGCCGACTGAGAGCATCTGCTTTGTTTTTGTGGTCGGGATTGTAAATGATATCGTAGTGGAAGTGCGTCTTGAGGAAGTCAATCCAACGGACCTGCCGCCTAGAGAGGTTTGGCTGTGTGTTCAAATATTTCAGGCTGCAGTGGTCGGTGTAGATGGTTGTTTTTCGTCCTTCGAGATAACATCTCTACGTTTTGAAGGTGATGATAAAAGCGAGGCCTCTTTGTCGTGTATGGGTAATTGAATTCTGCCCCGTGCAATTTCTTGCTAAGGCAGGTGATGGGTTGCAGGCCATTCCCCTGGTCTTTCATCAAGACTGCTCCCACTGCCTGGTCACTAGCGTCAGCTTCGATGACGTAGTCGCGTTCGGGATGTGGCAAGATGAGTACGGGTGTGGGACGTGAGTGCTTGTTTCACCTGCTCCACGGCTTCCTGGTGTTTTGATTCCCATTTATAGGGCGTATTCTTCTTCTGTAGATTCGTGAGTGGTGCAGCGATTTTCGCGTACTCTGGTACGAACCTGTTGTAATAGTTGGCGAAGCCTATGACCTGCTGCAATTCCTTCACATTCTCGGGTGTCTACGACATGCATACGGCTTCGATCTTCTTGGGGTCAACGTAGAAACGTAGAAACGTTCCGTCGAAGAATATCGAAGATGCGTCGCAGGTGTTCCACGTGCTGCGTCATGTCACGTGAGTAGATGAGGATGTCATCCAGGTACACCACCACGCTTTTGCCCCAAGAGTGGGCATAGGATGTGGTTCATTTCAGCTTGGAAGGTTACCGGTGCGTTGGTGGAGCGATTTATAGATGTAACACTGCTTCGCCGTAGACTGGTAACTTGCTGTCGTCCACCATCGTTGCAGAGAATGCTGAAGGCTTGCTCTCTACCTAAAGTCGGTCGATTGCTCCCTTGTTGCATACAGTGTATAACGCTCCACTGTCCACAAGTGCTTGGACGTGGCTGCCTGTCGAACTTGTCGATTTCCATCGGGTCGGCAAACGTAGGGTGTGCTGAGCGGTTGCCCTATCGCGTACTGCCGACGTGCGTCCGTCGTGTTCCGGCGTTGACCGTGTCAAACCGCTCTGCTGCTTATACGTCGCAGTAACTCGCGTGACTTGTCACGGCTACCTGTCATTTGACTTCGGTCTTCAGCCCGACAAGATACGACTGTACTTTTTCCCCTTCAGTCAGGTCGGGATTACGGTTATAAAATTCTTCCATCTGCTGCGTGTACTACGCTACACTCCCAAACTGTCGATGGCGATGATTTTTTTTCCCGAGCAAGGAAACCTGAATTTATCGGCTTGAAACGTTTGAGCGGGTCGGTGCAGAACTGCTGCCACGTGGCTTCACTGTGGGATGAACGTACAGTTGCCGCCGATCCACTCGATTGCCGGCCCTTGCATCAGTGTCGCCGCGAGTCGCGCACGTGCTGACCGTCCCAGACCGGCGAGCTCCATCCGACAACTGTGAAGTAGATCTCCATGCTGGCGATCCATCTGCGGACATCTCGGATCGAACGGCTCAAGTGGGCGCAGCTTGGGAGCCTCAAGAAACTGGTGCGACTGCTGCGACGTTGCCTGGTCGTTTCGTGCTGCGCGCCGGCGAGTCGCGTTAGTCGCTCGAACTCGTTTTGCCAAGCTTCGCGGTCGGCTCGCATCTCTTCCTGTAGTGGCGGCGATGCGCGCGAAGAGCTGTCGGGTAACTTTGGTGTTGTCAAAGTTCGCCATCATGTTCAAAACACGCGCGGAGCTGGTGCTTACCAGAATCGGCGCCGAATTAGTCGCCCCCTGCGGTTTTTCGAGGCTGGTTTTCCCGCTGCTGCTGCTTAGCTGAGTGCAGCTGAGTGAGAAAAGCTCTTATTACCAAGTGTTGCATGATCGAATTTATCGAGGAAAAGGTGCACTATCGATTCATACAGGGCGCTTTTATACTTCCAAGGAAAATCACGTAACCAGGTTTATCCTATCCAAAGGGAATAGACCCTTCTAGAAATAGAATCACCCTACGTATAGCCATGCGAGGCTATTGGCTTTAAGGGATTACGGCAAGATTATGCCACATATAGCGAGCCAGTATATCCCGAGCCTGGTCGATGACGTAATTATAATGATAGGAGAAACCAAAGGATAATGGAAAATGAGGAATAGGAAACATAAAGACCAAATGAGTGAGGATAGAAAGACGAATGAGATAGAGGAGAATTATGGAAATGAGAAAGAAGTGTAACGTGGTTGTACTTTCACATCACGAGTGTGTGGAATAAAGTACTGAGGAGTTGCTGTTCAAGCACAACTTTGTTGGCTTGATTTTCTTTTACTACTTTGAGCCTCTCATCCCTCAACGTTTGCTGAAAATTTGAGCGCCTTCAGCATCTACCCTGTTTTGAGGGGGGAAGTGTGAGAGGATGAGGCTTGCTGAATCCTTTATCACAACCATTTGCATTTTGGCTGTTTATCGTGTCTTATTTTGTATGGTTAACTTTCCTAGAAATTCCTGCACTCTTTCCCATACATCATATGTGTTAGAGTGTTTCAGACTTTCCTTGCGTGACACGTTATCTATTACGTGGAGTGTTCCATCTCTGCCGCTGTATCTCAAGAATCCCTACAGTGCTTCTAGATCGTGTTCCTACGGATGGTTCCGCTCTCCACTAGAACTCTCTTAGGAGGTCCTAGTTATCCTTCCCTAGAGTTCTCGTAGGTACTGTATAAATAGGATTGTGTCTTTGCTTGTATTCATTCAATTGATCAGACATTCATTTCAGCTTCCGTTAAAACATGGACCTGTCACACCCCCAAACTCCCTAGTCGCTCTCTCCATCCCTCTCATTAACTCGCTTAGTGCGCATCCAAGTACACGTTTATCGCAAGTGAAAAGTTTACTAGCTAAAGGGCGAGCACAGAGTTTGTATATAAGTCTTATCCCCTCTAAGAAATACACCTAGCGAGGCAATCATTCATATACACCTAGTATATAAATATTTAAGAACTTTAACACACCCCCTAGCTTGGGTAGGGGCATATTTAACAACATACAGCAAACCAGTCCAGCACTACTAGTCTGGCCTTTGGTGGATGTAACAAGCACCTCAGGGCAGCACTACTAGTCTGGCTACTCAGTAAAGGGCCAGAAGGCTAGTCAGCAAGTGTAACAAGACAACCGGTATAGACACAGCATATACAAGCAAGTGTGAGGCCACTGAAACTAGACCAAGCTGAGTATGGAACTGCTGATGGTCACGAGGCCCAAGGGCCTTGGTGAAGATTTCAGTAGTGTTCGCCTCTGAGACCAACTGTACCACGCGGGCCTGACCGCACTGCTGCAACTCCATGTGGCAGAAAGTACCGCAGCAGGATGTGCTTGGCCTTGCCCTCATGTCGAGCCTCCTGACACAGGAGGATCATGGCCCTATTATCAGCAAACAGGACCAAGGCAGACCTAGGCCGCTCACCTAAGTCAGTAAGCAAGAACGCCAGCCAGCGGAGCACCTAAGGGGCCATAGCCCCAGCATAGACCGTCTGCTTCATGACTGAGCTGAGCTACAGACGACGACCTAGTAAGCCGTCACAAAACTGCACCGGCACCAAGAAAAAGCAGTAGCCCTGTGAGGACCTGAATGTCTCCAAGTCGTTAGCCCACGATGCATCTGTGTGTCCAGTGAGGACCATTGGCTCCCATCATCCTAGCATAAGCTCCATTCCTCATATACTCGCCAGATACCGCAAAACCCTCGTGGCAGCCGACCAATGCTCAGGTCGGTGTCTGCCAGTCGCAACAAAGCGCGCAAGGATACTGTAAGGGACGCTAGATCTGGACGAGTTCAAGTTATCAGGTAGATGAGGCACCCCACTAGCTATGCATATGGACTACTAGGTTCGACCTCCTCATAGGAAACAGGAGCAGAGAGATTGTGGTCCATAGGCAAGGGGGGGTTGTGCCGACAAGAACTAAAGACCAAACTTCTGGAGGATCTGCTGCACCATGTGGGATTGGGAAAATGTGACTATGTGCGCTGCACGATCACTGCACCTCTCCTAGGTCTGTACAGGCGTATCCCCTGAGCAGCTCGAACTTCACTGAGGCCAGTGTGACTCTGTCTGGAGTAGTAGAGTTGAGGTCATCTACGTACACAAGTATGTGTAGAACGGAGCTTGAACAGCACAAACGAAGAGCGAGGGGTCAGCAAAGGATGGGAAGAAGTGAAGAGTCACGAGTGTGGTGCGGATCGTATTATGCCACTCACGGGGCGCCTGACGCAGACCATAGACAGGGCGGCGCAGGCTCCGCTGGGTCCCAGGAGCGAAGGATCCGGTGCAGACTGCTCGTACGGACTACCCTGCAGGAAAGTTGTGGAGAAGTCCAGAGAGTGAAGCTCGTAGTTACACTGTGCGGCTAGGTGGAGGAGCACCCGAAGATTAGTAATCTTTGGGGTAGAGAAGAAGATATGGAAAAAGTCCACACCCTCTCGCTGACTCAAGCCTGGCCACATACCGCGCCTTGAACTACAGCGGCTCTCCAAGTGGGCGCTTCACCTTATAGATCACATGACATCCGCTATGTTCGCTGTAGGTGGAGGAACTGCGTCGACGTAATGGCCGTGGGTCTATAAGATGCCATCTCTGCCTCCATGGCCTATATCCACTTGGCTCCCCAGGCACCCGAGACCGCCTCAGCATACAAGCATGGGATAGGGATGTCCATGGCATTTGGGTCACCCTGAAGGGGACACAATCATGGCTCAGAGATGAGGTACAGCAGCTGCAATAAGAGCTAGCTCGTACTGCCTAACCACTAGAACGTTATTGTCAAGGGCAGGTGCAGCCCCAACGGATGAAGGATAGGTAGGGTCAGTCAAAGACTAGAGCAGAGGCATAATTAAGGCGGTGGCTCGCGGCAACGAGGGCAGAGACATCCTCTGAAGGAAGGGTAGGGTAAGTTACAAGCGAGGCAAGCAAGCGGAAAACGACTGGACGAGCAGTGGGAGCAAAGTCAGAGGGAGGAGCAGAGGACAGGGGTACGGACGACTGGGGAGGGAACTGTAGGACGGGGATGGGAGGAGCACAAGAACGAAGGGCCATAGGATGGCTACGAGCACGAGGAGAGACACGACGACCACTTGGCTCTGGTACCATCTCAGAAACACAGTCGCTAACCACTGTTCTAAGAGAGAGAGGGAGAGAGAGAAGAGAGAGAGAGAGAGAGAGAGAGAGAGAGAGAGAGAGACAGAGAGAGAGAGAAAAAAAATCCTTCAGGCATTTCACCC